GCCTCTAACTGACTGTGAAACTCTGGACAGACACATTTCCTTGCCAAATCTCAGTTTCCTGATGTGTCAAATGGAGAAGGCAGTTGCAATGATTTTTAAGGGATCCATCATACTTGAAGTGTCTATGCCTTGTGTTCTAAATGATGTTTGTGGAGGGACAGAGGGATGTATGGTCAGGAGACAAAGCAAGTTGAGAGCCTGCTTCATACAGACAACTTGTTAATTATATTTAATATTACTCTGAGGAAAATCTATCTCCTCAAAGTGGAGTTGACAGTGACGATGTGAATGAAGTACAGCTTTTGGGACCGTCATTTGCTGAATGAGCACACTCAAAAAGAGGAAAAACAGCTGCAAACATCCATTAGTAATCAGAACATGGAATGTAGGCAGTATGAATCAAGGAAAATTGGAAGGTATCAAAAATGAAATGGAACACATAAAGATTGATACCATAGGAATTAATTAGCTGAAATGGGCTGGGATTGGCCATTTTGAATCAGACAATCATTTGGTTTACTATGTCGGGAATGACATATTGAAGAGGAATGGCATCACAGTCATCATTAAAAAACTTTTCGAAATCTGTTTTGAAGTCCAATGCTGTCTATGATAGGATAATATCCATACTGATGTGGCACTGTATGTTAATGTGCTGGGCTGCAAAGTCCATCTGAACTGCAAGGTCGGAAGTTCAAGCTCACCAGTTGCTTCTCAGAAACCCTATACAGTGACACTGTAGACTCGATGGCACTTAACAACAGCAACAGTAAAGGGGAGAAAAATTAATATCACTTATTACCAATATTACTCAAATTTATGCACCAAATTTAAAGCCAGTGATGATGAAATTGAAGAATTCTACCAACTTCTTCAGTCTGAAATTGATCAAACAGCAAACAAGATATTTTGATAATAAGGGTGATTGGAATACAAAGGTTGGAAACAAGGAAGGCTCAGTAGTTGGAAATATGGTTTCGGTGATAGAAATGATGCTGGAGATCACACGATAGAATTTTGCAAGACCAATTACTTATTCATTACAAATACTATTTTTAAACAGCATAAAAGATGATTGTACACAAGGACCTCACTAGATGAAATACACAGAAATCAAATTGACTACAAATGTGAGAGGAGACAGTGGAAAAGCTCAATGTCACCAGCCAAAGCAAGGCCAAGGAACAGACTATTTCATATGCAGATTCAGGCTGACACTGAAGAAAATTAAAGTAAGCCCTGAGAGCCAACATATGACCTTGAACATATCTCACCAGAATTTGTAGACCATCTCAAAAACAGATTTGATGCATTTGACACTAATGGCTCAAGACCAGAAGAACTGTGGAATGACACCAAAAATACATAGGAAAAAAGCAAAAGGTCATTCAAAAGAAAGAAAGAAAAGACCAAAATGGATGTCAGAAGACACTCAGAAATTTGCTCTCCAGCATAGAAATGCTGAAGCAAATGGAGGAAATGAGGAATTCCAAGAGCTGAACAGAAAATTTCAAAGGGATGCTCAAGAAAACAAAGTAAAGCATTATACTGAAATGTACAAAGACATGGAGATAGAAAACAAAAGAAAAGAACTCACTCATCATTTCTCAAGCTGAAAGAACTGAAGAAACAATTCAAGCCTCCACTTGAAATAGCAAAGGATTCTATGGACAAAATGAAAGCAGAGAACACCAGAAAGATGTTAACCTGTGCTTTATTGACTAGCACAAAGATTTTTGATTGTGTGGATCATGACAAGCAATGGACAACATTATACAGTATAAGTATTTCAAACACTTAATTGTGCCCATAAGGAACCTGTACATAGACCAAGATGCAGTTGTTCTAACAGAACAAAGGAACATGATTTAAAACTAGGAAAGGTGTGTGACAGAGTTGTATTCTTTCACCATACTTATTCAATCTGTATGCTGAGCAAATAATCCGAGAAACTGGGCTATAGGAAGAAAAACATGGCATCAGGATTGGAGGAAGACTCCTTAACAGCCTGCGATATGCAGATGATACAACTTTGCTTGCTGAAAGTGAAGAGGACTTAAAATACTTACTGATGAAGATCAAAGTGCACAGCCTTCAGTGTGGATTATATCTCAATGTCAAGAAAACAAAAATCCTTACCACTGGACCAATAAACAACATTCTTATCAATGGAGAAAAGATTGAAGTTGTCAAAGACTTCATTTTTCTTGGATCAACCATCAGCACTAATGGATGCAGTGGTCAAGAAATCAAACAACATATTGCATTAGGCAAATCTACTGCACAAGACCTTTTTAAAGTGTTGAAGAGCAAAGATGTCAGTTTGAGGATTAAGATGCACCTGACACAAGCCATGGTATTTCAATAACCTCATTTGCATGAGAAAGCTGGACAGTGAATAAGGAAGACCGTAGAAGAATTGATGTATTTGAGATATGGTGTTGGAGGAGAATATTGAAAGTACCATGGACTACCAAAAGAACAATTAAATCTGTGTTGGATGAAGTACAGCTAGAGTGCTCCTTGGAAGCCAGGGTGACCAGACTTCAGCTCTCATACTTTGGACATATTGTCAGGAGGGACCAGTCACTGGAAAAGGATATCATGTTTGGTAAGGTGGAGGGTCAGAGAAAAAGAGGAAGACCCCCAGTGAGATGGATTGGCAATGTGGCAGCATCAATGGACTCAAGCGTGGCAACAATAGTGAGGTTGGCCCAAGACTGGGCAGTGTTTTGTTCTGTTGCACATAGGGTCACTATGAGTTGGTACTGACTCAATGGCACCTAACAAGAATAATAACATGGGCAAAATATTGAGTGATCCAGAAAGCATCAAAAGATAATGGAAGGAATACACAGAGTCATTTTACCAAAAAGAAATGATCAATGTTCAACCATTTCAAGAGGTATCATATGATCAAGAACCAATGGTACTGAAGGAAGAAGCCCAAGGTGTACTGAAGGCTTTGACAAAAACCATGGCTCCGGGAACTGATGGAATACAAATTGAAATCTTTCAACACAAACTGATGAAGCCCTGGAGGTGCTCACTCATCTAGTCCAAGAAATTTGAAAGACAGCTTACTTGGTCAATAAATTGGAAGAGATCCATATTTGTGCTCATTCCAAAGAGAGGTGACCCGTGGAATGTGAACATCTTCAAACAATCACAAGAAAGTGAAATTTTTCTGAAGATAATTTAAAAATGGCTGCAACAGTACATTGACAGAGAACTTCCAGAAATTTAGGCTGGATTCAGAAGAGGTTGTGGAACAAGGGATATCATTGCTTAATGTGAGATGGATCTTGACTGAAAGCAGAGAATACCAGAAAGAAGTTTACTTGTGCTTTATTGATTATGCAAAGACTTTTGACTGTGTGGATCATGACAAGCTATGGATAACATTGCGAAGAATGAGTATTCCAGAACATTTAATTGTGCTCATGAGGAACCTGCACATAGACCAAGAGGCAGTTGTTAGAACAGAACCAGGGGATACTGAATGGTTTAAAATCAGAAAGGCGTGTGCCAGGGTTGTCTTCTTCATCATACCTATTCAATCTGTAGGAGTCCTGGTGTGGCACTGTGGGTTAATGCCCCAGACTGCAAAGCTGTTTGAACTGCAATGTTGGCGGTTCAAGCTCACCAGCAACTCCTTGGAAATCCTATACAGGGTCGCTATGGGTTGGAACTGACTCGACGACACTAAACAACAACAACATTCAACTGTATGTTGAGCAAATAATATGAGTAACTGAAATATATGAAGAACGTGGCATCAGGATTGAAAGAAGACTCATTAATAACCTGTGATATGCAGATGATGCAACCTTGCCTGCTGAAATCAAAGAGGACTTAAAATACTGATGAACACCAAAGACCATAACCTTCATTATAGGTTGTACTTTAATGCAAAGAAAACAAAAATCCTCACAACTGGACCAAGAAATAACATTGTGTCAATTGGAGAAAATACTGAAGTTGTCAAAGGCTTCATTTTGCTCTGAGTTACTATCAACACTCATGTAAGCAGCAGCCAGGAAACCAAGTGACATATCACATTAGGCAAATTTGCTGCACAAGACCTCTTTAGTTTCAAGAGGAAGATGTTACTTTGAGGGCTAAGGTACACCTGATCCAAGCCATGGTATTTTCAATTGCCTCATATGCATGTGAAAGTTGAACAATGAATAAGGAATAAGGAAGGCTATAGAAGAATTGATACATTTGAGTTGTGGTGTTGGAGTAGAATATTGAAGGTATCATAGATGGCCAAAAGAACAAATAGGTCTATGTCAGAAGAAGTACATACAGCTGGAGGGCTCCTTAGAAGGGAACATGGTGAAATTTCATCTCTCATACTTTGGCCATGCTCTCAGAAGGGACCTGTCCCTGGTGGATATCATGCTTGGTAAAGTGGAGGGTCAGCAAAAATGAGAAAAACCCCAATGAGGTTGTTTAGTGCAGTGGCAGCAGCAATGGGCTCAAGTATAACAGTTGTGAGAAGGGCTCAAGATTACTCAGTATTTCGTTCTGCTGTGAGTAGGGTCATTATGAATTGGAACTGACTCGAGAGCACCTAACAAGAATAACAAAAACAATATTTCATGATCATTTATTATGTGTCTACCACTGTGCTCAAAATTTATATATGGCATCCGAGTTAACCCTCGTGACAAGTGCAAGAGGCAAGGACTAATTTTAACCCCCATTTCTCAGATGAGGAAACTGAGGCTCTGATAGTTTTGTGACGGATCTAACACCATACTGTTAAGTAATGGCAGTGTTAGGATTTGAACCCATGTCTTCTCTCCTTTTCCATGTCTAAACTCTCAACCACATCTTTGTACTTCCCCCCTTTGCCTTTCTTGTTCTCCCACTTGGGTGCCTCCAAGTCCCAGAGGAGGAGCATGCTGGGAAAGTGGGTCTGGAGTAGGAGTGCCTGGTTGTCATCTGAGGACATCGGCTGTCTTTCAGGTGTTCACACTGTGTCAGGGAGCTTGTTAGATCTGAAGAGAATGATTGAGAACGTGACTGGAAAGTCTGCCCTGTGGGATTATGGCTTCTATGGCTGCTACTGTGGTTGGGGTGGCCGAGGGACCCCCAAGGATGCCACTGATTGGTGAGTTACCCTTTATGTTCCAGGTTCTATGTCTACAGTCTCATTTAATCTCATGAGTATTAAAGAGTCATTTTATAGATGAGAAAACACAGAATTTCAAAGAGGTTAATTGACTTGTCCAGAACATCAAGTAAATCCCAAAATGATTCCCAAATCTCAATGGTCAAATGTACCACTTACCTATTGCTGCCTAACAAAACATGACAAAACATAAAGCCACAGCAGTCATTCATTTTGCTTGTGACTCTGCCATTTGGTCAGGGTTTGGTGGGGTGGCATAGCTCTGCTTCACATGACTTCAGCATGGGCAGCTCAACTGGGGCTGATGATCCACTTTCAGGATCCACTCCCTCATATGACTATGAAGCTTAGCTGTGAATATGGGCCAAGGGTTTCAGTTTCTCTCATTTAGACCTCTCCAAGTAGCGTAGTGGTTATGAACTGGACTGCGAACCGCAAGGTCAGCAGTTCGTGGGAGAAAGATGGGGCTTTCTGCTCCTGTAAAGATTTACAGCCTTGGAAACCCTGTACAGGGTCACTGAGAGTTGGAACCGACTCAACAGCACACAACAACAACAACAACAAGTTTGTTTAGACTTCCTCACAGTTTTATGACTCTTGGGTTCCAACAGTGAGTATACCTAGACAGTAAGACAAAACAGTAAGAAATTCTTATGATCCAGCCTCAGAAATTCCATGCTGTGACTTGTACTGTACTCTTTGATTGAGGTGGTCACAAAGGCTTTGGGAGGGAGGGGACATAGTTTCCACCACTTGATGAGGGAATAGTGGAGGTCTAAAAGATATATGAGATGGAAGATACTGCTCTTCAAAAAACAATAATTTGGGTTAATTTTTTTGCATACTGGAATGAAACAATTAGCTAAATGACAATCTATAATTAAGTAGATGGCAGATGGTGGGAGTCACATTTCTTATTGTTGGAGTGGGAGTGTGCTGATAAGCCAAAGAAGAAGCTAGAATAATGCATGGGATAATGGATTAGAATTGGAGACATCCATATGAATTAATGTTTATCTTAAAACAGATATAGATGATTATACATAGAAATATTTATGTTGCTGTTGGGTGTCATCCAGTTGGTTCTGACTTATAGCAACCCTATGCACAATAGAATGAAACACTGCCCAGTCCTATGCCATCCTCACAATTGTTGTTATGTTTCAGTCCATTGTTGCTGTTTGTGTCAGTTCATCTGGTTGAAGGGCTTCCTCTTATTTGCTGACCCTCCAACTGAGTATGATGTCCTTCTCTAGGGGCTGATCCCTTTCTAACAACATGTCCAAAGAATGACAGATGAAATCCCATCATCCTCACTTCTAAGGAGCTTTCTGGTTGTATATCTTCCAAGACAGATTTGTTTGTTCTTCTGGAAGCACATGGTACTTTTAATATTCTTTGCCAAGACCATAATTAAAATGCATTGGTTCTTTTATGGTCTTCCTTTTTCATTGTTCAACTTTCACATGCATATGAAGTGATTAAAAATATCATGATCTAGGTCAGGCATACCTTAGTCCTCAAACTCTTTCCTCTTGAACACTTTAAAGTGGTCTTCTGCAGCAGATTTTCCTAGTGCAATCATTCATTTGATTTCTTGACTACTGCTTCCTTGAGTGTTGATTGTGAATACAAGCAAAAGGAAGTCTTTGACAACTTTAGTCTTTTCTCTGTTTATCATGATATTATTTATTGGTCTAGTTGTGAGGTGCAGTCCATAATGAAGGATATAGTCTTTGATGTTCATCAGTTAAGTGTTCTTGTCCCTTTCAGCAAACAAGGTTATATCTTCTGCATATCATAGGTTGTTAATGAATCTTCCTTCAATCCTAATGTCATGTTCTTCATATAATCCAGTTTCTCAGATTATTTGCTCAGCATACAGATTGAATAGATAATGGTGAAAGTATGCAACCTTGCCACACACCTTTCCTGATTTTGAACCATTCAGTATCCCCTTGTTCTGTTCAAATGACTGCCTCTTGGTCTATGTACAGGTTCCTCATGAGCATAATTAAGTGTTCTGGAATGCACATTGTTTGCAATGTTATCCATAGCTGTGATCCACACAGTTGAATGCCTTTGCATAGTCGATAAAGCACAAGTACACACCTTTATGGTATTCTCTGCTTTTAGCCTAAATCCATCTGATGCCAGCAGTGATAACCCTTGTTCCACACCCTCTTCTGAATCCATCTTGAATTTCTGGCTGCTCCCTGTTTATATACTGCTGTAATCATTTTTGAATCATCTTCAGCAGAATTTTACTTGTGTGTGATATTAATGGTATTGTTTGGTGATTTCTACATTCCATTGGGTCACTTTTCTTTGGAATGGGCATAAACATGGATCTCTTCTTGGCATAGATGACTGAGCAACTCCAGTGTTATATCAGTTTGTTGAACTATTTCTATTTGTATTCTGTTAGTTCCTAGAGTCTTGTTTTTCTCAAATGCCTTCAGCACAGCTTGAACCACTTCTTTCAATGCTGGCAGTTTCCAATCATATGGCGCCTCTTGAACTCTTTGTAGATATGAGATATGTGTATACACAGATGACTATATACACATATATTTTTTGCTGTCAGGTGAGAGGGCCTAAAAGAAACGACACTCCAATATTGATAAGCATACCTAGTGCCCCAAACTGGTTTCTAATACCATAAGAAGAACCTGAACTTCTTGGTTAAATGACTGATTCTAGGACCAACGTTCATTTATATGGTATAAAATGAGTATTAAAAGTACCATGGACTGTCAGAAGAACAAACAAATCTGTGTTGGAAGAAATACAACCAGAATGCTCTTTAGAAGCCAAGATAACAAGACTTGGTCTCTCATATTTTCAGACATGTTATCAGGAGAGACCAGTCCCTGGAAGGACACCATGATTGGTAAAGTGGTGGTTGAGCGAGAAAAAGGAAGACTCCCAATGAGATGGACTGATACAGTGGTAGTAGCAATGGGCTCAAACATACAATAATTGTAAGGATGATGTAGGACAGTATTTCATTCTGTTGTAGTTGGAACTAACTCAATGGTGCCTAATGACAATAACAAAGTGAACATGGAACATCTTTAAATGCCAGAAAAAAGGGGAATGTTAAAATGAAAGAAACAAAACCAAAACACCCCCAAAATATGTTAATGGGTGATATGTTGTAGCAAGACAGGAGCCAAATGAAAGAGCTCACAGTGGTTAAAGATGGAACCATGAGAGCATCAAAATAAAGTAGAATTACATTATAATCTAAAGGATAAAATAAATATCCATGCACTGGGACCAAACCCAGCCTGTTGCCATCAGGCTGAATCTAATTCATGACAATCCTATGTATTACAGAGTAGAACTGCTCTGTAGTGTTTTCTTGGTTGTTATGAGTTGGGCTGCTAACCTTAAGGTCAGCAGTTCGAAACAATCAGCTGTTCCACAGGACAAAGATGAGGTTTTCTACTCCCAGAAAGATTTACAGCCTCGGAGACATTATACAGGGTTGCTATGAGTCGGAATTGACTCCATGGCACACCACCACCACCACCAATCTTTGTGGAAGCAGACCACCAGGGTTTTTCTTCCACTGTGAGCCTCTAGGTGGGCTTAAATCACCAACCTTTAGCTTAACAGACAGTTGCAAAGCTCTTATACCACCCAAGAACCTACTGATACAAATAAATGATTGAAAAAAATAATAAATAGGAGAGAAGAGGCAGTATCCAATGCAGAAAAATTCTCAATAATTTATGTAGATACTCTGCTCCCAAGGAAGGCAGCACAGCTCCTGGTTGTGTGAGTGTGGTTGTACATAGTGACGTTCTTCCAAAGTATACAGTATGAGAAAGCAAAAAAAGAGTAGTTGAGAAACCCGACAAACATTTCTTCAATCAGATTGTCAAGGTCAACACTGACATTCACAAATCATGTTGATAATCTGTACCCTTCTTGTATATGATGAAAATGGTACTCTACCTCTTGTGGTTTTCATCCCAATGATCCATAACCCATCTCATCATGAGAAAAACATCAGACAAATTCTAATAGTGGGGCATTCTACAAAAGACCTGACCAATATTTTTCTAAACTGTCAAGGCCATCAAAAAGAAAGAAAGTCTGCAAAACTAACACAACTAAGAGGTGCCTAAATAGACATGACAGCTCCTGAAACAGAAAAAGGATATTCCGAAAAAGCTAAGGAGATAAAATAAACTATGGATTGTAGTTTACAGGAATGCATCAATATTGGTTCATTAATTGTCACAAATGCATCATATTCATATATGATGTTAATAATCAGAGAAACTGGGTGCTGGGTATATGGGAACTTTAGTATCTTCTCAATTTCTCTGTAAATAAAAATTTAAGAAAAAGAAAATGGAACTTGCCACTCCTAACATAATCATTTATTTTTCACTTCCATAACAGTTCAGTGTGAAACCCATGGTAATCCAGAGACTCAGGCTCCTTCCATCTTGTGGTTCTCCAATCCCTTACAGTCAGAACCTTCTGCTGGGTCATCTCCATCCAGCAGAAATAAGGAGAGTGGTGGATCCTTGGGGAGGTTTTCATGGTCAATGGTTTATTTATATCATTCCTGCCCACTTCACAGGGGCCAGAGCCTAGTCACATGGCCACAACTACTTGCAAAGTAGACTGGAAAATGTAGTCTAACCGGGAGCCCTGGGGGAAAAAACGGGCTGACTGATAAACTGCAGCTAAGTCATAGTGGAAAAGCAGGAGCATACTCAGCTATACTGTTAGATTCTTTCTCTGCCAGAGGTGAGCTCTGCTGATGTGACACGGTTGAGTTTTTACATCGACAGGTGCTGTTGGCTGCATGACCATTGCTATGGATGGCTGGAGCAGAAAGGCTGCAACGTCCGGACCCAGCCATACAGATACAGAATTGTACGGGGCTTGGTCACCTGTGGTAAGACTGAGCTGCTCATTCAGCTCATAGGAACAACCAGATCTCACCTGGCTCTGAATTCAACTGGTCCTGGAGGTCACCCAGCCTATATTTTGGGGGATAGAGCCAGGGGCTAAGGGAGCAGGGTTATTATAGCTGCATCTGACCCCTAGGGAAAGAGCACAAGCACCATTTTAACGGAACATTTACTGAGTAACAAGTGTTTTGCGTCCTTCATTTTACTCATTCCCCAAGTACCCTATGAAGTAGGTGTATCCTTCCTGTTTCAAAGAAAGGAAACTAACACTAGAAGCTTGGCCAGGGAGTGCATGCAGTTAGAGTTGGGATTCAAGTTCAGGTCCATCTGAGTTCAAAGCTAGGTCTGGTATGTGACTCCTCTCTGAGAATTGGAGTTCCTTCAGAGCACGAGCTGTCTCTACCACCAGACTGGGAGCTCCCAAGGATAGGGAATGTGTGTCTTCCAGCAGACTGAGAGCACTCTGAGGCCAAAAGCCTCAACTTGGGCAGCAGCTGTGCCTCTTCCAGCAGATTGTGCCATTTCTGCAGCTTGTCCCCCTCGGACTGGAGCTGGAAGCAGACTGGGGAGTCTGCTTACATGAGAAGCAAGTGCTCAGACTGAGGCCAGCCCAGGAGTCTGTGTGGTAGAGCACACTCATCTCTTTCTCATACTGCATTTGATGTTCTGTTTGCAGAGTTTGGACGCTCCTGCCAGGCACATCTCTGTACCTGCGACCAGAAGTTTGTCAACTGCCTGCGGAGAAACTTATGGAGCTATAACCCCAGCTACCGGTTCTTTCCCAACATCTTCTGCTCCTAGCAGTGCTTAGTGGCTGCTCCTGAGCCAGCACCTTTCTTTGTCCTCTTTCTCCTACAACACAGAGCTCACCGTCTCTGCTGCTCCTCAGACAGGCTCCCAGGTCTCTGGCTTGCCTCGTGCTTTCTCCATGGTCCACTGTGCGTGGAGGAGCCCTAAGGCCACTCTGTACCCTCCAGAGAGTCTCACGAGAGAGACTCTGGTCATAGGACGTGACAAAGCCAGAGTGCCTGGGCGTCCAGCTCAAGGAACTCTTCTCTGAACTCCAGGCCACGTGCCTCCCACCTCCTGCACAGTGGAGCCCCTTGTTCAGGAAGAAGACTGTCTAGGGATGCATTTACTTCTCAGTTTCTGCAACCAGATTGCCATCACTACCCCCAGAGAAGCTTTACTCAAGTAGAAGCTAAATTGACTCTCTAAATCTGCCATACAGATATTAAATAAAATTCATTTTCAAGGCTAATAAAATCCACCCAGACACTTTCCTCTTTGCTGTGGGAGGTTGCCTGTGCCTCTTTCTCCTCCATTAGTGCTTGGAATTAAAAGTTAACTCTGTTTCCTCAGAAAGAGAAGGTGCAGATTAGCAAACAGAAGGCTTTCTTTCTCCTGGGCTCATTTCCTTAAATCTGCAGGTGCAGAGTGGGACGGGGGATGGTATACTCAAGCTGGGCAATGAGGCTCATTCTTCCTTATGAAACCACATTACCATCCCAGCTCTGGCTTTGCCCAGCTGTGTGGTGTCAGTCTTGCTACCAAAACCCCTCTGAATTCCTTTGAATGTAAAATGAGAATCCTAAAGACCACCTTGTTTCTTATACAGGGGACACTGACATTTTGGCATTTCATAAAGAAAGGTTTTTTTGTTTTTGTTTTTAAAAATGATATTCAGCTGTGGGCTTGTTTTGCCAAGCAAGGACATTCAGGAAAAAAAAAAAAAAAAAAAAAAAATCCAACTCAGAGATGAAAAGACGTCTCAAATCAAGATTGTAGAAGAAAGGACATCTTCCAAAACAAAGGAGAGCCCTTTCCAAGAGAGGACCTTTGGCTTCCTCACATTCACATTACCCCCAAATAAACACATGATAAATGGGATCTATTTTTAAAAACCTCCAATGTTGAAATTTCAAAGTAAATTTTAGGAGATTACAGTGAATGTACTAGTTTTTAAAGAAACGTTTGATATAGATTTGGTGTCTATATTTGACGATGCAACACAGATTGGGGCTCACATGCCCAATTTGCTCTTGAAATTATTTTAATCAAAGCTATTTCCCAGATCTAATTTTAAATAGATATATGGAGGAAATTAGAAGCCTCGCTCTTAGATGCCATTTCTCTTTATTTAAGATATTGCAGATGGTCCAGAAGAGACCCAGGCAGACCCCAGGTCTCTCCTTTATTTGCCTTAGGTGGCAGGCAGTGTGTTGTGTTGCTGGTAAATTATACAGGACAAGAGTATGGGGGAAGGCACTTCTGACTGGGCAGCCTAGCTCAGAGTCACAGTACCCATCCACATGCAGATAGGAATTGATGGATGAAGGAAGTTGAGATGTTACAAGTATGAAAGAAACAACACAGGCTGAAATGAGTTTGAATGTTCAAACAACTGAAACTTGCACGTTGGAAGGGACTATGGGGAACTGTCATTTAGCTACCAGGAAAATAAGACTGTCCTAAAGTCCCACAGCACACCAGCAGCTGAAGTAGGATTCAGGTCTTGGATCCAAACCCTAGGCTCCCTCCACTCTCCTACAATGTCTTCAAAATTAGCTCACAAAGAGAGAAAAGGAATCCAGGGGAGTTCGGGTACTCACCTGTTCTTGGAAGTCTCAGGAGGATTCCTTGGGTGCCAGCTGAGGGCCAGCTTTCTCACATCTCTGGTCTGCTGCTTTAGATTTAGATTAGAGGCCATCCATGGATGGTTGGTCTGGTTCAGGTTTGGTCTTCATCCTCAGTGGACAAGACCCTGCTGCTCTCCTCCAGGCCTGGACCCCTCTCACTGACATAAAGAACACTGGGAAAATGATGTGTGCTGAGTGAGTGCTAAATGTGGGAAGAGGGGTTTCCCTCTTCTGTTCTGTTTGGTTGTCAGGTAGATAGCAGGAGGGAGTCATTGTTTTCAAAGTGCATGGCTCTCTCCTTGCAAGAGAAATACAGAAATGTACAGACCAGAATTGATATATAAAAGTAAACAGATGACAGATACATGGAAGCTTGATGGACTAAGTGTCTCAGAAATACAGGTTGTTTACTGATGTCTGTACTAGTCTTCACCCTTCCCAGAAACATGGAGGGGCTTCAAAAAGTTTGTGTCAATTCCATTTTTTCCACGAACTTTTTGAAGCCCCCTTGTATGTCAGAAGATCTGTATGAGTACATGTACATTTGCACACCTTTGGTGCAAAAGTTAGAGAAGTTAGCAAGGAGATCCAGTAGGTTCACATCACCATGATGAGCCAGCAGATCCAAGCCAAACCAAAAAGGGGTTGTTAATTGCCCTCCTGTTGGCTCCAACTCATGTAGACCCATGTATGACAGACCAAAGCATTGCCTAGGCCTGCACCATCTTCATGCTCTGAGTCCGTTGTTGTGGCCATGTGTCACTCCATCTCATAATGGCTTACCTTTTTTCACTGGTCCTCTACTTTTCCAAACACAATGCCCTTTGCTAATGACTGATACTTCCTGATGATGTGTCCAAAGTAAGTGAGCTCAAGTCTCACCATCCTTGCTTCTAAGGAACATTCTGGTTGTATTTGTTATAAGATTGATTTGTTCATTCTTCTTTGCCAGCACTATAATTTGAATGCATCAATTCTTCTGTCTTCCTTTGGCAAGAACTGAACAGAAGCCAAGATTAAAACCTACTCAGTTGAGATAGAAAAGAAGGGGACTGAGCTATTGTATATGGGGTCCCTTCTCTGTGCTACAGATGATGGCCAAAATCAACCACCCCGTAGAGCAAGTGTTCTTAGGTTGTGCTTGGGGTGAGAACTGAATCTCAGGGAAATGAAGTGTTTAGCCTGAGGCCACATGGGTAGTAAGGAAGACAGGTAGGATAGGAACCAGGTTGGTTCCTGATTCCAAAGCCTTGTTCTTAGTCTGTAGAACAGATGGTATTAGATGGGAAAAACTCAGACCCTGTGCCAGGCCTTGTGACAGGCACTAAAGAAAATGTGTTTTATTTTGTTCAGGACAGATGCAACCAATTTGGATTATATTACTTTTTGTGAGGATGGAGCAGGACTGGGGACCTTTAAGGTTGCTGTGAGCTAGAACTGACTCTACAGCATTTAACAACAGCAGCTAAGGGGGACTACATTTCCCAGAATTCCTTTTCCTGCACAGTTCTGGATTAGCAAGTGCCAAAAGAGATGTTTTGTGTGAGATCTGGAAGGGAGCAGCCATGTGTGTGTGTGTGTGTGTGTGTGTGTGTGTGTGTGTGTGTGTGTATTTCTTTCTTTCTTTAACCAGGGAAGGTCAAAACAGGGCCCAGGACATTTCAGCTCAGATATAATGTCTTGGATCTGCTGACTCATAGTGTTGGTGTAAACTTGCTAAATGTCCTTGATAACTTCTTCAACTTTGGGCCAGGTGTGGGAGCCATCTTCTCCTGCTAGCATCATCACCACTAGCATGAAAGTTGGGGACTGGAGGTGGTGAGACTGCCACACTTGAGTGTCCCAATGGGGCCTTGTTCCCTCACTTTTTATCCATCTCCCATTCAGTAGACGAAGGAGCTCTGGTAGCATAGTGGTTATGAATCGGGCTGCTAACCTGAAAGTCGGCAGTTCGAAACAACCAGTGGTTCCGTGGGAGAAAGATGAGGCTTTCTGCTCCTGTAAAGATTTACAGCCTCGGAAACTCTGTGCAGGGTCACTATGAGTCAGAACCGACTCCATGGCACTTAACAACAACAACAACAACATTCAGTAGACTACTTGCCCTGCTAATCTCAGACACAGATAGTGCTACATGAACTCCCACACCTGTACAAGGTCCAGTCTACTTCTCAGACTGAACTTCCTGACCAATACAGGTTTTGGTTCTAAAAGTGGTTCCACGGCAACAGAGCCTGAAGGATGGGGTTTTCGGAATTGGCCTTAGGTTATCTGAAGTTTGGTTTTTGTTTGTTTGTTTTTTTAATTTAAAGCATTAATAACTGGCTTCTACTGGTAAAGGGAAGGAGTTCTGGTAGTGTAGTGGTTACGAGATGGGCTGCTAACCTCAAAGACAGCAGTTTGAAACTACCAGCAGTTCCATGGGAGAACAATGAGGCTTTCTGCTCCTGTAAAGATTTATAGCTTAGGAAACCCTGTACAGGGTCACTATGAGTTGGAATCGACTCCATGGTACATAACCACCACCACCACCACTGGTAGAGGGGGCATTGGTAGTCCATTGTATGGAGGGTTAAAGCAGACATTGAGATGATCACTTCTAGATACCTATTTTCAAGTGCCTGTAGCAGACACCTGTTGGAGGAGAATATTGAAAGTACCATGGTCTGCCAAAAGAACACACAGATCTGTGTTGGAAGAAGTGTAGCCAGAGTGCTTCTTGGAAACCAGGATGGCCAAACTTTGTCTCTCATACTTTGGACATATTGTCAGGAAGGACCAGACACTAGAGAAGGATATCATGTTTGGTAAAGTGGAGGTTTAGAGACAAAAAGGAAGACCCCCCACCCCAGCAAGATGGATTGGCAAAGTGGCAGCATCAATGGGCTCAAGCGTGGAAACAATTGTGAGGTTGGCCCAGGACTGGGCAGTGTTTCATTCTGTTGTGCATAGGCTCGCTATGAGTCAATACCAACTCGATGGCACCTAACAACAACAATAGAAGACAGGCGTTGGGTGACCAAGTTTTTGATGCCACAAAGAATTTTAGTGGTAATAAAAACTTATTATGGGATTGGAGAATTAGGGAAAAGAAAATGGTGAGCTCCAGACTAAACATTTTCATTTATAATCTGAATAAGGGATACAAAACTGCTTCGACTG